TCAGGGATTATATTCATCATGTCAATAAAATACGGCGACATTTTCAAATGTATTTCTTGTATAAAGTAAGTGTAAGAGACTTATAATTTTTTTGTATCTTTAAACGAAAAACAAATGAGAAACTATCAAAAAAATAAATGCAAGTTAATATGATTAAATGTTTGAGTAAATGAAAAGTTAGTTTTGTTGAATGATTAAAGACTTTTTTGCATAAATAAGTTTGACTAATCTGAAAGCTAATATGACAACGATAACCTACAAAGTAAAAGAAATATAAATTCACTAGAAATGAACAAGATAAAATGCTTATCATGAGAAGGAAATTAACAATGAAAATAATGACATCAGTAAAAACATCTAGTGATGCGCCAATCGCAAGGATCTTGCTTAGACGGATATCAGCAATTGTTTGGGCAGCTGAAGCTGCACTAACAAGAATGAGAAGAACTATAATTTTATTACTCATGAGAACAAGTCCAATTATGCCCAGCCAAGTAAGCTAAAAGTCGAAAATGGACATATCAGTTTTAAGTAGAATATTTTTTTGAAACAATATTAATCCAACAAATTGTTTTACATGTTTTCAAGAACTTCTGAATACGAACGTTTATATCTAAGATCTCAAAACAGATAAAACTGAGCAAAATCATTTTCATAGATTATTTACTATGATCTTATCGTCAAAATTCGTTAATTTTAATGTAATAGAAAGGTTCTTGTCGAAATTAATATCGATTTCACTTTGCATTGTATGTACAGATAGTTTCCTTTAATATGTTGTGGAACACAGTCTAAAAGAAGTGTTGAAGTATAGGTGTAAAAATTTAAATCTCACCGTCCGCACACCATGACAGACATTGCTGATACACAATCATATATCGTATATAAATAACGTCTCGTAACATAATATATGAACTACTTTCTTATCGCACATCTGGATGATACAGTGAAAAGATGGAAAAAAAAGTGTCCCAAAATAGATAGAATGAATTATTTATCCTCCGATCAGTTAATGCCGCTACATCGCGTTTCATATTTTAATTCTGCAGGAATGGTGCTAATAGTTCAGTGAGTAACAAAAAAGCAAAGAGTGATGTATTTTACATCATTCTAATGAAATTGTTTCCATAGAAAAATCATGACGAGGAATGGAAAAGAAATTCCATTTCTGACCATGAAACAGACATTATTTTTGATGTTTTTTTAAAATTCATTGAGGAAAATTAGAATTTTAATTCATGAAAATCATTAATAATGCACGAAAATCTCGTCATGAAAAAGATAAAAAGAAGATCTAACTTTTGTTTCACTTGAATTATTACCCATCAGAGTAGGTAGTTGTACGCGAACTTTTATACAAGTCTCGCGTGGCTATCCTTCAATGGGCTCGACGATGGACTTTTTAAAAGCTCATTTTACTCTACCATCATATTAAGTAGCAAACTCTTATAACATTATAATACTTCACAAACTTTAGAAAAAGTAGAGCACGACGTGGTTTCTATCCTGACATATTCCATTTGTTAAGCAAGTGGTATGTATCAGAACAAATTTGTAGATAAGATTCAAATTAATCATTTATTTTCAAAAAATATCGTGACAAATAATGCTTTTCACAGATAAGTCATTCATTAAAATCCTTTTTCTTTGAAAGACTTTTAAAACTTTTTCATTATTTGGAATACGATTGAAATTCATTTTTTCATATGTAAAAGCAATGAAATGAATCTACTGATATATATATATTGCGAAACAATCAAAATCATGTAACGAAAATATTGCAAAAGTAATGAAAGTAATGCAATGGTTTTCGTTTTCCACAATAATCAAAATCATATAATGAAAATCGTGTGAATGTAATCCAAGCAATGTGATGACTCTAGTTTTTTCGAAATTATGAAAATCATCTCAGGAAAAGAATGCATAAATACTGAAACTACTGTAGTATAATGATTTCTGTTTGCAAACTAATCAAAATAACGAAACGATAATGATGTGAAAGTAATTAAAGCATTGTGATCATTCTAGTTCTTTCAAAATTATGACAATCTTGCCATAAAAAGAGTGCAAAAATAATGAGTGGTGTCACATATCCAAGATTTTGGAGAAGTGCTCACTTCTCCCACAGGAGATGCGGCATCTCCCACGGGAGACGCGGCAACCAAACTCGGGAGAGGCGGCGCATTGCCGCGGGCAGTGNTTTATCTGTATGATTATTTTCACGACGACAAATTATTTCGATAATGATTAGTTGATTTTGATAGTTAAAATAAACAGTTATATTTTATCTTTTTTTTTTAAATATATATTACAAATTTTTTTTTTCGTTTAGAAAATTAATGTTTATAATTGAGGAAAATACAAATGAAAATTTTCTGGAGCAACAAAAGGTTCAACTAGAGAAAGAGATTTTAACTGAGCAAAATTAAATTCAATTGAAGAAAGAAATATGTACTGGAGAAAAACAACTAAGAACCATAATACAAATATTTTATAAAGAAAAACATAACTCAATGATAATAAATAAGTTAACAAATAAGATTGATTTCTAAAATTATTTATATCCAAGATGAAAACTATTTTCTTGCTAAATTAATTAATTTTGTTAATTTAATTATTTCAATTGACTTGAATAAAAAATAAGTGACAAAACAAGAAAGTGAAAAATAGTTTGATATGAGAGAAGCAGATTAACTGAAAAAAAAAGATAAAGAAAATAATCGGAGAATATTAATTATTATCTTTCAGTTCTACATCTTACAAACAGATCATATTTTACACAGACTTTTAACACTCGAATAAATTTCCTTAGGAGAGAAAAGTGCTACTCTTAGTTGTTACAAGATAAAACTCTTAACAAAAGTCTTTCCCTTGCTCTATTTGTTCGTTATTTTATCCGCTTGATCTTAAGTCAATATTGATAATAAGAATACGAATAACTAAAGTATTTCATTTCAATTGATCAGTATTTTCTTCAATAAACATCAAAGATCTAGTATTTGAATCACTCGGCAAGACGTTTTATAACTTGATTATCCGATAATTCTTTCACTGCTTTTCACTTATCTTCATTGGACTTTAAATGAGCGGTAAAGAATATTTAATAAGCTAAAAGAAGTCAAAGAATAATCAGATAAAAACATTTTGTCAAACGATTCATTGATCAATAGCATTAGAAGACTTTTAGTCTTTATTTTAGCGAATATCGATCATTCATACACTATATTTTAACCTTTTGGATACAGCATCATTTTTTAACACTATTAATTTTTCCTCTACAAAAATGACTTGCACTTAATAGATAAATGGATAGCTAATAATAATCGAAGTATAGATGCTCTCCGTTGCACAGACATTCTAAACATACATGGAGCGACTTTTTTTTGAAAACTGGTGAGCAAATACACCACTAAAACGCTGGAACTTGGTTAAATTTTAATGATAGAGATACAGGCTGAATATTAGAATCCGGTTCGATTTCGACATATATTAATGGTTTTTTTTTGAGAATAAACGAAAAACATTTATCTCATAACCGTATCGTAATGTGGAAAAGCTAGAAAACGCCTATTAATCTGTTTTTAGCATGGACAAGTATTAACATGTTTGGTTTTTTGAACGCGTTCACACACCTCAAAGCATTACATTTTGATCGCCTTCAAATGTATCAAGTTACAATGCTTATAGACGCTCAGGAACTAGAGTCCTGCATGGACTCGATTTCGGAGTCGTTGTTAAAGTCAACAAAGTTTCATGCAAAAAAAAATCTCCATTCCGTGTAGGAACTTTTTTACTAAGGTCCTTATTATAAACTTAGATCAGTTTCTAAGATACTGAATTACTACACACGGAAATAACGAAAAGAAGATAATTATCATCGATTGAAAATGTAAACAGATATTTGTCAAAATTATCCTTCTTGACATATGTATCATAAAGGGTGACACGACAGTTGAGCTCCCGACAATTGAGCCCCGACAGTTGAGCCCCGACAATTGAGCCCCCGACAGTTGAGCCTCCCGACAGTTGAGCTCCCGACAATTGAGCTCCCGACAATTGAGCCTCATATCAAGAAAAAAGTAAAGTAATAGAGCAAGATAATTTTATTTGAATAAATCTACACTCATATCAAAAATTAAATAGAGTTCTTGCTCGTTTAAAATACAAATCTCTTGTGATTAAATGAAAAGTTGAAGCTAACTGTTGTAATTGTTCATCAAGATGTTCATATTTAACACGTTTTCTTACTTTTACACCTCCAGCTTGCAATAGTTCAGCAGTTATTAAGTTTGCATGTTGTTCCATCTTCAAATCTTTAATAGATTCATAGATTGATGGATTTTCTCGTGCTGAAGTCTGAACAGACGAACAAGAGCTCTATTTAATTTTTGTATTGAAATTATTTCTTCCGGAGTTGGTGCGTGTATATGATCTGTTACTTTAACATATTGTGTACCATCAAAACATACACGACCAGCACAATTGTTTTTGTAACAACGTCAAATTGATTGAGATTTATTAGCACGTCGATAGCGAAACCCATCCAGCAAAAGCTGATCCTTGTTTCTAGAAGGTTTTACAATTGACATTATACAACAATTATATAGCACGAGAATTGATAATGAAGATTAAATGAATTTCTACAAAATAACTGCTTGGAACACTTGTTCGTCTCCGTAAAGACGATTGTGTTAATCACAGAGGCAAAAAACAGCGAATCACCAAGGCGACAAGATGGCGCATTCTAATATGGACTTTTTTCATTTCAGTAATCGATGAAGGCTCAACTGTCGGGAGGCTCAACTGTCGGGAGGCTCAACTGTCGGGGGCTCAATTGTCGGGACTCAACTGTCGGGGCTCAATTGTCGGGAGCTCAACTGTCGGTGTACCGTATTTCATCAATCGTGGCTCTGGTTTGGGTGTGAGAAAAATAACAACTGTCATATCTGAATCGAACGATTCATTCATCATTCGAGCATATTCATTTCTTTCGTTTCATTATGAAGAATCTACTTGTTACAGTCACTATTGCAATTGGACTTGTATTTGCTATTAGTGCTATTCCGACTCGTCGTGAAACTGACGAAATACCATGTGAACATCAAATCTGTCTCACCGATATATCGATCTGTCTATGTGGTTCGACACTAACACCGGATGATCAATGTGGCTGCCCATTTCGATGTACGCAATGTTCGTTTGAATACTTACCATCGTTCAACTTTAATTTTACTGGTATTATCTTTCCAGAAATCGATTGGTCCACTCTTGTTTTCGATTTCTCAAATTTGAATCTGAATCTTGGCAAGAAAAAATAGATTTCTAGGACTTGTTCCTACCAATGACATCCACCAATAAACGATACTATATGTTGTTGCATCTAGAAAAATCTAACATTGTTTTTTTACGGATTCGATGATGACTAGGATCGAATTGAAACTGATATCGATCTTCACTATCCGTGAGAATGCATCCATCACTATAGTGGATGCTTTTTATTTTCTCCTGGATCATATCAGGAGAGCATTAGAATAAGTTTGAAAGAAAGATTTTGAATATTTTTTTATAGTTCTTGTTTTGTACATAAAGAAACTCATTAGTGCACTAGGATTTATTCAATGAACGGATGAAATTTTTGCTATTGTAGCACACATGAACCGACACCTATATTATGGCGAAAGGAATTTTGTGAGGTCACAAATAAGTGTTCATATCGATGAAAGTTTAATGAGAACGTCATTATCTCATCCATTGCAGACATTTTACGTCGAGTGTACCGAGAAAGTTTGAGGGACCCGAATAGAAGTTTTCAGAGACAACTTGGACAAATATTTCGATTGAAACCTGATCGAGGACCGAATTCGAGAGACACATTGAGCATTAATTGTGAAAATATATTTCGTATAATCAAACCAAATACTACCTAGTTTCATTCAGTTGATTGTAAATTTAGTTTTACTTGTAACGATTCATGGCCTAAGAATTGACTCAAAATCTAAGGCTGTAACAACAAAACTAATAAAGAAAAGAATAATTTATTTAGTTTTTAGACATCTTATGACGTTTCAATAAATTGTTATGATTATCAAGTAAACAGGAAAATCGCTTACAGAAAAAAAGGATGTGGGCGTGAGTGATGGTGTGGGTGCCGGTGGGTGTGGTGCATGTACATTGATAAGAGAGAGCAATGTACCCATACCCCACATCTACCCAGCATGTGTTGTACTTATCTGTTCAAAAAACAGAATCAAAAACCATAGGAAAGAAAATAGTGAGCATACGAGAAGTGAGAATAGACTAAGGCACTAGAAATAAAAAAGGGTATATAACACTTTTGTTTGAGACAAAGACCAAAACTCGAGCATAGTCACAAAAAAGTGCGTTACACCAAGTGGACGAAATGAAATTGGATGAAAATGAACTAAATTTTGAATCTATCCAAAACTACCGAGATTCCAAGATCACAGTAGAATTATGTCTATGTGACTTAACTAGTATAAAAACATTTAATGCAGAAAATACAATTAGTTTTATAGGGTGTTCGATGTCCTGTCGAATGGTGTATAGTTGTTGAGAAATCGCTTTTATTTTGGTGAGTATAAGAGTATCACACTAAAAACTACTGATTTTGACTGAGTCACTGCATAGTCGTCAGTTTGATCCCAATAACATTTTTGTTTTATGACCAATCGAGCTCATACGCCTATAGAAAAATTGCTCGATTGGCTGACGAACTCTACCTAGAGTGAGAGAACTTTTTCTGGTTGCTCTGTGCAATGCTTTCATTCTGTTCTATCGTTGCTACACCATGAGACTCAAAAAAAAAACAAAAAGAAAACAATTTTTTTCCATTCTTTCTTGAAAACGCATAAAAGCCCATATATGTAATGTAAAATGTATTGAAGAGTGAGTAACAGTGTTTATAGTCTTTTTCTTCTAAATTTACGCACAATCAGTGAGTTTTGGGGTTCTTAGGCACCTTTTCGGAAGAGAGAGTAGCTATTAAAATAATTATATGCAGGCGAGTACATACACAGGTAGCAGTCAGCTTAATGTTCAAATAAATCGCAAACGAAAACTAACTCATTTATTCAGAAAGATAGATGTCATAGTCTTAAATGATCGATAGAAAAGAAGCTTAAATAAACATTGATCACCATGTCAATGTAGATAATTATCGATGTAAAAATAAACTACATCGAATTTCAGATAAGATGACGGAAGAAACAAACATTGAATATATCTGTCTGCCGGACAATAATCAATCATCCACATGCCAACATCTTATGAATCGCTTAGAGAATTTAAAAGCTCTTCCAACAACAACAACGAAATCTAAGAAACAAGTATGGCTACAATTCGTTTCTCTATGGCTTGAAGTTCTACAAACATCTCCATCAGTCGCGCAATTGTGTTACGATGAATGTGCTCGTCTTCTACCACTTTTACTCAAATCGACTAAATTTCACTCAATAATAGACGATGCTGACGTTGCTCGTGAAAACTATTTCGCCTGTGTTACTCAACTCAATCAAACGTGCATACGGGAGTACCTTATGTTGTCTAGTGAAACGCGAGAGCTACCAGATACAACCACATATCAGAAACATGTTTACTACCTCTTAAAGATAGCTTCCGAAGCAGCTGGATCTTTCGAGCTTACGACGATCAACGATCAGCAATTCATGGATAATCACGTTGAACTTTTTACTATACTTATTGAGCACATCGAACAAAATATGCCAGAATATTCTAAGAGAATGGTGGAAAAAGACTACGCCTTGAGTTCTATTAGTATAGAAATTCTTCGCTTGCTTTGGGATTTAGCCGATCAAACAAGGTTGGTCCCAACATTGTTGAAATGCGGTCTTGCTAAGAGAGTTATCGGTTGGCTTGCTCAGTCAGCGATGCTGACAGATGAAAGTCGAAAGCCACTTATAAGTATCGTTCATAATATTGCTCGACACGATGATGGAGTCGATGAACTCAACAAACACGGAGCTATTGATGTTGTCAAACAATATCAGAAAATGTAAGTTGATTTTTGAGTGCTTATCTTATAACCTATTCATTTTATCAGGAAGATAGAAACAATGGATTCACGAATTCTTGTTATTTCAATGACTTTAGCTTTTCTTTCTTCACCAGAACAACTAAAACGTGATAAGAAAGGCATGAATGCGGTACTAAACCAATTACTACAACTTGTTATGGATTCTGCCAAAAGTGATCAATATCGATATGATGGTTTCCATGTTAGTGAACCACTTGAAGTCTTGGTGAAAATGTTCGTTGTCGAAGAGCGTACACTCGATTATGTCCTGTGCCATGCGGAAACTGAGCCTACATCGGATATGTCTTCTACTGTTCATTTATTCATCTCACTACTCTTCTCATTTTCCAATGCTTTGAAAGGAACAGATCGGCTCGAGCAGTTTACATTGGTAGCCTTATTGAATATTCTTTGGAGTATATCATNAAAAAGAAAACAATTTTTTTCCATTCTTTCTTGAAAACGCATAAAAGTCCATATATGTAATGTAAAATGTATTGAAGAGTGAGTAACAGTGTTTATAGTCTTTTTCTTCTAAATCTACGCACAATCAGTGAGTTTTGGGGTTCTTAGGCACCTTTTCGGAAGAGAGAGTAGCTATTAAAATAATTATATGCAGGCGAGTACATACACAGGTAGCAGTCAGTTTAATGTTCAAATAAATCGCAAACGAAAACCAACTCATTTGTTCAGAAAGATAGATGTCATAGTCTTAAACGATCGATAGAAAAGAAGCTTAAATAAACATTGATCACCATGTCAATGTAGATAATTATCGATGTAAAAATAAACTACATCGAATTTCAGATAAAATGACGGAGGAAACGAACATTGAATATATTCGTCTGCCGGACAATAATCAATCATCCACATGCCAACAGCTAATGAATCGCTTAGAGAATGTAAAAGCTCTTCCAACCACAACAACGAAATCTAAGAAACAAGTATGGCTACAATTCGTTTCTCTATGGCTTGAAGTTCTACAAACATCTCCATCAGTCGCGCAATTGTGTTACGATGAATGTGCTCGTCTTCTACCGGTTTTACTCAAGTCGACTAAATTTCACTCGATAATAGACGATGCTGACGTTGCTCGTGAAAACTATTTCGCCTGTGTTACTCAACTCAACCAAATGTGCATAAGGGAATACCTTATGTTGTCTAATGAAAAGCGACAGCTACCAGATACAACTACATATCAGAAACTTGTTTACTACCTCTTAAATATAGCTTCCGAAGCAGCTGGATCTTTCGAGCTTACGACGATCAACGATCAGCAATTCATGGATAATCACGTTGAACTGTTTACTATACTCATTGAACACGTCGAACAAAATATGCCAGAATATTCAAAAAGAGAATGATGGAAAAAGACTTCGTCTTGAGTTCTATTAGTATAGAAATTCTTCGCTTGCTTTGGGATTTCGCCGATCAAACAAGGTTGATTCCAACATTGTTGAAATGCGGTCTTGCCAAGAGGGTTATCGGTTGGCTTGCTCAGTCAGCTATGCTGAAAGATGAAAGTCGACAGCCACTTATAAGTATCCTTCATAATATCGCTCGACATGATGATGGAGTCGATGAACTCAACAAGCACGGAGCTATTGATGTTGTCAGACAATATCAGAAAATGTGAGTCGATTTTTGAGTGTTTATCTAATAACCTATTCATTTTATCAGGAAGATAGAAACAATGGATTCACGAATTCTTGTTATTTCAATGACGTTAGCTTTTCTTTCTTCACCAGAACAACTAAAACGTGATAAGAAAGGCATGAATGCGGTACTAAACCAATTATTACAACTTGTTATGGATGCTGCCAAAAGTGATCAATATCGACATGATGGTTTCCATGTTAGTGAACCACTTGAAGTCTTGGTTAAAATGTTCGTTGTCGAAGAGCGTACACTCGATTATGTCATTGCCATGCAGAAACTGAACCTGCATCGGATATGTCTTCTACTGTTCATTTATTCATCTCACTACTCTTCTCATTTTCCAATGCTTTGAAAGGAACAGATCGGCTCGAGCAGTTTACATTGGTAGCCTTATTGAATATTCTTTGGAGTATATCATTTCAACCGAACTATGCACAAGAATTAGCTAAAGATGAAAAACTTATAGAAATAATTCAAAAATTTGCCGAGAATGATAAAGACCAAGATATAATCGAACAATACAAGACGCGTTCCATGGAAAGTATCAAACAAGCAACTAATGGTATTCTACATAATGTCAATCGAAATTATAGAAATGATGTAAAACCTAATCAACAAGAGACTGTTCTCAATGCTTCTGTAGTGAATCCAGTTGAATGGTAAAAGAGGCGATTTATTAGTATACTAAGAGTGTAGTTTAATTGATATTCTAGTGTAAACAACAAACCATCGATCATGATTAGTTATTCGCACGATAATAACACATTTTGCAGTAAAATACTCAACTTACTAACCACACGCAATGATACTTTCGATATATGGATAGATCGTACACATTGCCAAGGAGCAAATGATTTATAGGAAATGATTGCCAATGGAATAGAATCAGCATGTGTCATTGTATGTCTACTTTCAACTCAATATTTTGAAAGTAAATCATGTCGCCAAGAATTCATCTATGCTAATGATTCACTCAAGAAAAAAATTGTTCATGTGCTGCTTGATAATTTTGAACCGAAAGGATGGCTCGGTAAGTAGAGAAATAATTGCATGCCTGATCGATATTTTTATCTGTTAGGTATTCGTATGACTGGCATGAAGTATATTCGTTTTCGAGATTCTGGTCAATCTGACCAAGTAAAAATGACCGAATTGTTGAACACAATTCTCGCAACACTCCCACTATCTGGATCACTGATCTGTGCGAATCTTTCATCATCACTCCATCATCAACCCGCACCACATCCTATTCATAATGTCATACAGTCAACTACTGCTACATTCCGTTCAGTCAATCAATGGACATCGACCGATGGTGACATTCTGGCATGGTTTACAAGCAATGAAATATCAATAGAACTTCACGATCTATTCAATTTTCGAATAGGTGAAGAGATGCTTGATTATGCTCAATTGTTGATTGAAGATCGTAGACAACAGATGAATATCTATGCGAAAATTTTTGCTCAGAAATACCATGGAAGCGAGTTGCCTCCACACGAATTCAATCGATTTGCAAAAGCTTTGGAGCAATTGCTGAAAGAAAACCGTCCATCCGTGTCTGTTACCAATCCAAATGCATCAGTTCCAATCAAATCAGGGGCATGCACTGTACTGTGAAACTCTTTTAGGTATAAATATTCTAATTGGGTGTTACCGACATTCAAAAAGTGCAGTCCATCAGATAATACATATTTGAATATGTTTGACATTTATTTAGAAAAAAAAATTAAATACTCGAAGAATGTCTAAAGAGCGAGAACTAAACATGTAGCAACATTTTATGCGAGGATCACTAAAGCGATCATTCTGCTGAATAAGTCAAACATTTGGCAACAGAGAAAACGTCGATCCACCTGCTAGATAGTATAATCTACATTTCCAGACTCTGATCAGCGGTAAAAAGCCGCCTTTTTATATAGTTACGTTGAACCACACTTGCCGACCCGTGGCACATATTTCTATCTTACAAATCAGGGCCGTTCGAATGTTATACATATTGTGAAAGTTTATTTCCAAATTGTTCTTACTTTTTTGTTTTCTTGCCTAGAAAGTCGCATTGCGGCTAGCACCAACTACGAAAAACTCGTATCTCAAGTGTAGTAAACAATTCAGTCAAGTGAATAATGAAGAAATAGCCACTCAGATGCATTTTTATTCACGAATGAATTTTGAACATTTCGTAGTTATTGACCCTTTTTTCGGACTTTTGAGCTGAATTAAAAAATGTTGGTATGAGTTTGATTAGATGTGGAATTATGGGTCCTGATTTAACTCAAACCCACAACTCACAACCCATACCCATACTCACATCCACCCATCATCAAGCCACATTAGTTTGTTAATGTTAAATAAATACAACTTGAAACTAAGCATTGTTCTTATGACTTGATGCAATCGAAAACAGAATTGTTCACCACTTATATATAATCATTAAGCCAATATGTACTACGCGCAATATGTGATGTATTTCTATTGAATTTGATTTGTCTCTTTGCAGTGTTTCATTTTTACCTGATCAAGTCGAAGAATTTCAAAAACTCCGATGATATCAGCATATAAAGAACAAATTTTAGGCAACGATGGAAGAAACGATGATTCATTATAGTATGAAAAATTTGACCGCAAGAAAAAGAAACTTGAATGGGAAACATGAACGTTTCGTAGCCGAAATCATGTGACACCCTCTTTGCATCAGAATGCAGCTGCCTTGGATTCATGTGATAGACTGAATTAGCGTAACGCTTCAAATATCCCTTTTATTACTACTTAAGTATATCAGCTCGAATATCTAACTCGAATTTTACTCATCGTAATAAATAGAATTATAGTGTCATTTCTAATTACGAAATGGTTATCTCATGGTAGAAAATTCAGTGAATATGTGGATTCTGTGCGATAGGAGATACATAAAACATGTCTCAAAGAAATTCTTTTCCCTTGATTTGTTTTCAAAAATATATTCCGAAGTATCTGCTTGATGATCATTCGTCAATCGTAATAGAGCTCTGTGTAAATTGATTATTTCGAAAATTTATGAGACAGGAGGTTTTTTAACGATTATCTCTGACGAAAAATTCAGTGTTGTTGGTAGATAGAGAAAATGACTCCCCGAGGCTCCATCTAAGTCTATATCAACAGAAACAGAGCACAAACTCACTCTTATCTGAAATTGAAAAGTTTCGTAACCATAACGCTGTTTCACCACTATGATCAATATCGGTAAGCTCTTGTCTTAAGACATCAAAACATAATGAAACATTATTTCAGTTAAAGTTTGATTATATGTTTTTTTTTTTGAAGATTGATCTTGATATAGAGTAAGAAAATCTTAATCCTAATGAAAGAATGAAAATATTTACATTGAGACAAAATTTGTGTCTTTCATTTCAATGCCGAATTGGAAAAAAATTGGTTGAGTTGAACCATTACATTATTGATCGTTTATGTGAGAATTTCTTTAGTTCAATAAGTATTGTATAAACTTCAAAACATTGAGCCAAATAATTTGATTAACAAAACATTTCATTTTAATATCAATATTCTTTTAAAGTTCTCATCATATTGAGAGGAACGATGATTATCTGTAGTCTTGATCCTCTTTCAATTAACGTTAAAATTCTTATAGAAAGCATCCAGTAGACAAAACGAATATAACTGAACGATTAACTAAATAGAATAAATAGCAACAACGTAAACAACTTTTTCTTGATTTCTACTGAGGTTGAAAAGTAGGCAGCAGCTTAGATAGATCGTTTCGAATTTACTTGTTCAAAATAACTATGAAGAATAATATATGACATGCCAAAGGAGATATTGAATAAGCCATGGAAGTGAAGTAAAATAACATCATCGAAGAAAAGTGATTCGATCAATTATAAATAAGAGAAACGAAAACAAGGTGAAGAAGTTAGTTAGATCAACAACTATATGTTATGGACACTTTGGTTTGAAAAAGACACGCAGTTCGGAAAACAAAAATTAAGTTGAAATGAAGGCAAGGCTTCAATGAAAATATGAGAATAAGTAAGCAAAAAGAGAACAAAAACAATTAGCAGATAGACAGCATAATTTCAAGACTATTTCTGATTATATTATTATTCGTATGTGATAATGAATTCCTGCTTGACCTTTTAGATCTATCAACAATCGATGGCTTGTCCAAAGTAATTCTGCAATTATTGTATACAACATGAATTCTTGGAAGCTTTCCCATCGAATGATGGCATTCTTTTCATCGCTTTTTTATGAGTGATTCGATTCTCGGGATTCATTCCAATGTCTCGCATATTATCATGTGCCTGCAGGGTAATTATCTCGTCGTTTTTATCAACAACTTCAAAAAGTGAGTAAGGAGAAAATAGATATTCTTCCTCCTCTGGATGATATGAAATGTCAGATATATCTCTTACTTGAAGACAGCCACTATCAATATTTATGGCAAACAATGTGTTACCAAATTGCTGTGCTTTCTTCCTACATTTTGACGTTGAAACGAATCCAGGGAACCGAAAAATTTCGCCGATTGTAAAAAATCGTTTTTGGTGATTATCCAAGTTTTTTGCACGATATACGACACAGGAACGCGATGGAGCATTATCATTAATTTGAAGTGTTGCTCTGCGAATCAATGGCATCAACTTCCACATTATATAGTCGTCATCGTTATATAATTGCTCATTGATATAAGTATAAAATGCCTTGGTTCCAACTGTTATCTCAGAAGAATATGTTTGAATGACATCGTATTCACTTGAGGATTCTGCTAATGCTTCAATTAATGCTTGAAAATCACCATTACCATCATCTAATTCTTGAAGAGACTTGATTACATTCGAATATTTCGGATCTTTTGGCGTTCTATCATAATATTTAAGGAAGTTACTTTTGTAAAAATCTTTTTGATGAACAATTGGTACTGATGGATCGAATCTACTCTTTCTCATCGAAAAAATAATATCTAGAATATGAAGACATGATATAGACAGGTGATTCGATACCCCTGCCACTTGAAATAATTGTAAGATCGCCATGAAAATAGTAACAATGCGAAACAATCATCGATTAAAGTCATTACATGGTTTTCCGGTAATGCTGGAAATGATTACTCATCGAAATTGACAATGCTTCTGATCCAAGAAACTTCATATTATATTAAACAAATCGTTTAAATGTATTATTCTATGACCTCTTCGTGTCATTTTTATGTTAGGCGATATTTAAACACACTCCATTGGCTGTCTTTACCATCTAAGTATTTGCTTTGACTTCAATATTGGGTCTTTTCGAAATAAGAGTTACGGCTACGAAATTTACAAAATTAGTAAAAAATCATCATTCACAGAATACGAGAAGCAAATGCTAGCTAGAATCATGAGATACCTATTTTATGCCTTCTTACCCATAGTTTTCTCAATTATCTAATTGTGAAGTAGGCAAAACATGTTTAGCAGAGTTTCAGCGTCGTTTTTGTAAAGATCGACAAAGAAACTTTTCTCATATGAATGTACTGTTGTGTCTAAATTGACAGTATTTTGATAGACCCATTGCCATCTACGATTTCATGGGAGCTTAGCTGTTCGTATTATATCGACATTGCACGAATACATTGAAAATATCATGACCAGTTCATCTGTCATCTACGCTTACGGTGAATGGTATCA